CATTGCCCTAAATTCTGCATACCAGCAAATTTTGTGAATTCAAAGAATTTTGACCGTAAGAGACTGGTGTTGAGTCAATTTTAGCCTTTTCTATCTTTCAATGGGTGTAGATAAAGCAATTGACAAAGTCAGGGCTTTTCCAAGGATCCAGGATGAAAAGATGAAAGGGTAATGTTCTGTGGGGATCAAGTGATGTTTTGCGGTCTGCTGATGGAACCTAGTCTTGTTTTCTTGCAAAAGTGGATGGAAAAAGCCTAAACTAGCTAGGAACAAGAAAAAGAATATGAAATTTCTCTTGAAAACGTCTGTCGTGTTTCCTCTCCCAATCCCACTTCTCCGTGACTTTCTTTACCGATCAAGCTTTCCGTTCTCAAGCAGGCAGTGCATTCTTTCACAGGCTCCCGTCATTTGAATGATTGTGGAAGAGAAACGAAAGCTTAGGTTGTCGTGAAAATTCCTCTCATCCACGATAAACATTACGTCATCGGGATCGTCAGTTGCCCAAAGTTCGTATTGATTCGCGGCGATTATTCGAACATTCTCATCGTTTTGAAATTGCTTCGGGATGCGAATAATGGGCCTGGAAATTGTCGAAAATGATCAATTGGAGAATCAAGTATGTTTTGGGAGTCACGAGTGATCGTTGAATTCTGTGATCTGTCGACGATCAACGATTTGAAAGATGTACGTGTAATTTGACGATCGATCTTTGTCTAGCTCCTAAGAATTACGATCTGTTGGACTTAGTCTGTGATTTTCTCTTTCCTTTTTTTTTCTTTTTTCTCCCTTTCTCTTTCTCTTTTTTCTTCAGACAATGATGCCCCTTTGTGATGACACGAGAATCGGTGATGAGCAAGAGAATTTGCGACTTGCACTCATAAATTTTCACTTCCAATCACTCATAAATTCTATCGACTTGTTTACGCATCTCGAAAAAAAACTTGAATCTTGAATCTTTTGAATCTTGAAAAATCGAGCAAATAAAGAATCACAGGACTCGATACGGACTAAAAATAATCGAACGTTGACAGCAACCAACCAACTAATTCGAAGGAATAGTAACTTTGAAAGACGGTTTGCACTTGACGATTCTGAAACATTCAAGAAGGTCAATGACTAACAGCAGGTTAATGAAAAGAAAGGTTCAAAAAATCAAGACTATGGCATACAACTATATAAAATGTAGGTAATCATTGAAAGGAACAAGCAATGAGAGTTCAGAAGAATGGAAAAACCGACAGAATTCTTCGGAAAATCACAATAAGGCCTAGACAAGATAGAGCAAAGATAGAAATATACCTATGGATATGCTGCGTCAAAATCGATGCAGATGATCTTTGTCCCCTCTCCACATACGAGCAATGTTCCCGTGGCTTTGAGATCCCAATAATAACGACTAGGGTAACCCGAACGAGATCGAATGAGATCACGAACGAAGGTACCTTAAAATGAAAAAAACTAACAACAAGACACTAAACTTTGCCATAGATTTAAGCTTGAATAGTTGACGAGACAAGCCATGTAATTAATAAATTCTACTTTAAATCCCACCCTGCAGTCTGGATCTTATTGCCTATAGTATTAGGTAATTTACAACATCATACCTTTCTCCACATCGCACAGCATGACCGAGCCATTCATCGAACCTGTCACCAAAAGTCCCGAATCGAGCAATTGTAATGAAGTAATAGTCGACGTCTGACCATTTACGCCATGTAAGTGGTGAATGCACGAGCCACCCTCACGAATGTCCCAAACCTAAATAAAAGAAAGTAGTTTTGATAGGATTGATTAAACATACCCAAATGTCCGAGTCGTAACAGCGGACCAAAATGTTTCCGCGAAGTTGCATCTCAAAGTGAATTGGGAACCCTAACTCTTGAAGACAAACAAGATGTGCGATGCATCCTGAAAGAAACAAATATAGATGACATTGTAACAGAATAGTGAACAAGTAAAAACTCACTTCCTCTTTGCACATCCCAGACGCGAATCGTTCCTTCCCGACTACCCCACACGACAAGATCGCGCTCTGGCTCAAACTAAAACTGAATCCTGATAAAAAGCCAAAAATTGACAACTCAACTCACCAAAAGTGAAGCAACTAGAGTCGTGTGACCGGTCAGCGTGTGCAAACATTCCTCCGTGTGTACATTCCAAACCTAATAGAATACTATAAATTGCACTAATAACTGTACAAACCTTTACGGTAAAATCATCACTATTAGATACAACCCGTTCTCCATCAAATTTCACCAAATTCACCTGGAATTTAGCTTTGTTTGAGCCATAACTTTAATACAAATACCCTCCGCAAGTGGCCGGTCAAAATGTGAAGGCATTTCCCGTCGACAATGTCCCAAACTCGGAGTGTTTGATCGTGCGATCCAGAGACAAGACTAAAACATTATGATCTTGGCTAAAACACAAAATTCAGATCACTCACGTCGTGCCATGTAGACTCATGCATGGAATCAAACCCGTATGCCCCTGCAAAACATGAAGCTGTGCACCGGTTTGACCACACCAAACGCGCAACGTTAGATCAAACCGGCTACTGAAATATTACAATAGAATTTGTTGTCTTAAGAATTTTTGTTTGAATCTTTTTAGCTTGATTGGCAACATTTATGAATTGCATTAGCTATAGTCTATTAACTAACCAGACAATGTATTTGCCAGCAAAAGCCGGCTAAATTCGGACGTGCAATAACAATTAAGCAAAATTAACTTGAGCATCTTCAACATTCCAGACCCGCAACTTATAATCCTGAGTACCAGCAATGATACGACCAGAATGAATTTGTAGACGAATGGGGTATTTAAAGTCATCCTAAAAACCATTTTTTCGGTCAAACCATTTATTCAAACCTCCAGAACAGTGCTTGATTGAATCGCTCGAGATCGCCAATTCGAAATGATTCGCTTCTTTCGCAAGTACAGCGACTTCCATGGCGAACGTTCATAACATCTAGCAAATACTTCATTTCGCAACAAGTTAGGTCACTAACAAGTGGTCACACGTTAGGTCCATATGCGATCTCGCGTGCTTGTCGATTCTGCTGTGCTTCTTGAAGGTCCATATGTGAACTGATTGTGATTCCCGCTTGCTCATTTGCTCGATTCGTCGCCCAACCTCCGAGCAAACGAAAACTAAAAAAGCAAGTTTGAGACGAGTCTTTTTACAATCGATTTCCTAAATATGAACCAGTTCATCTAAAAAAATATTATCATATGTTTTCTTTCGCTTTATATCATTGTTTGCTTTGCAACCAATAACATTGTTTTCCTAGATCTTACAACTCTTCAAATCTAGTTTAATATAAATCTATCAGATATGTACTTTTAATTGTTATATTATCGGCTCAAAACTGTAACAAACCTTGGCGCATCAAATTCCACATATCCGTTCTCGAAACATTTCTGTCGCCAAGTCTGATCATCTTCACAACTCCGTTGCCACGTCCGTGAAACGCCAGCACAAGTCATCGAGTCGCGCGGTGTCAAATGGGCGATGATGCGATAAGCAATCTAACATTAAACAATTACTCCCACAGGCTTTAACAAACCTCCTTTGGCAATTGTACCAAGAAGTCCTTTTGGAACAATGGTTGGTTCTCCAGCCTGTTCGACATCTCTCCTAAATGAAAAATTACAGTCGAGATAACACCGTAATTAATAAAAGGAAAAGTCCCCAAACAAAATACTATTACTAGCTCCTGTAAACACTGTAAGAGTGCCCCGCCCATGTGGCACGCACTAGAGGCCGGTGATCTATCACAGGATTTACGGGACATACACCTGCTGAACCAATTGCAAAGAATGAAATTTACGGCAAAAAGTTACCCTAAATACACGAAAGGAGCACGTTTTAGAACGCGCCATCAAGAGGTTTACGGTAGAATGTGCATAAAACCATATTTCACTTTTCAAAAAGCTCTTTTCCATTGCGCTTTTTAGCACTTCACCCACGAAATACCCTTTAGTGCACATACTCGTAGGTAAGGTGAAGTTTATCGGCAGAATTTAAGGCCCCGCTCGGGGGTTGGAGCTGCGGTCGGCGAAAATTTACTTCTTTGTTTTACATTTTGTCTTTAAAGCTAGGGTCTAGCTAGTGTAGAAGGGGTAATTTAGCATTATAGCAGCCAAAATTTGGCATGAGCCTCAGCGTTTAGTGATCAATAAAGATTATTATCGCTAGATCAATAAAGATCAATATCAATAGTGATTATTATAAAAAGACGATGAATAGCCATCTAGTCCCCTCATTAGCTGAGTCAGAATGGAAAGCCCAGGTCCAGACTTTTATCTTTTCGACTCTTGTTTTCGATTTTCGGCGGTATTAAGGTTAAAAAGCTATCGACAATTGCAGTCATTCTGTTGCCGATTCCGATCATTTTTCTCAAAGAACAAAACCTTCAACGAGTGCTTCAACGAGTGCTTAGAAAGAGCAAACTTTGCCATAGATTTAAGCTTGAATAGTCGACCAGACAAGTTATGTAGTTAATAAATTCTATTTTAAACCCCAGCTTGCAGTCTGGATCTAAGCCTAAGCCTAAGCCTAAGCCTAAGCCTAAGCCTAAGCCTTTGCACTGAGACCCAGTTGTTGCGATGCAGAATTTTATGCTGACCTGCTTTTCGTTGTTGCAAAATGGCTCCTTATCAAAAGTTACGAACGTTTTAGGAGTGGCGGCGGAGTGGGTAGAGGGCTTATGTCCGAAACGATTTCTTCATTTGTTGCTTGAGTCCAATTCCATCCTTTGTTTTTCTTTTTATTTCATCTTCCAACACTTAAATTCGTTTCAGTTTTCGATTTCAGAAAGTATCACAATCACTTTTTGTATTGAGATTTATGAACAAAATTGAACATTTACAGCTCCAACATTGATGATTAAAAGTGAAGTAACAAACAAAACAGTTGTTATCATCCACCAAAAAGGACAGAATAAACGATCTTTGCTGGCGATTTCTTTTAGGAAAGCAGAAAGAAAGAGCGTCTATTCTAGAATTCTTGTTTATAGACTTCTATATAAAAATTCTGTATGATACCTTGTGAAATAAAAAAATAAAACAAAGTTGTGTTGAAAGACCAAAATAAAAAGGATTGGTTGGAGCTCGATCCAGAAGTTCACCTTAAGTGGGTGCACTTCCCTTGTTGGAGTTTTGTGTAACAAAATCGTAAGCATTCTGATTGAAAGATTCTGTTAATTGAAACGTGTGAACAATCAAAAGTTAACAAGCACACCGTACATTTGAACACTGTAGGCCTAAAACCAGAGCTTTTGTCGGAGGGAAAATTTGTAAATGTAGTCTTGGCTATTGATCTTCTTTTTCTAATAATCACTATTGATAATGGTCTTTATCGTATTCATTGAAGGAGTTTGGCGGTTGATTTGAGTTGCCCGCTTGCCAATATCAGTTGCTTGTGCGGTTTAGTTAGATTTAAATCGGTGAGGTATAGATTCTTGAATCTTGAAAAATCGAGCAAATAAAGAATCACAGGACTCGATATGGACTAAAAATAATCGAACGTTCACACCAACCGACTAATTCGAAGGAATAGTAATTTTGAAAGATGGTTTCCACTTGACGATTTTGAAAGATTCAAAAAGGTCAATGACTAACAGCAGGTTAATGGAAAAAAAGGTTCACAAAATCAAGACTATGGCATATAAGTATATAAAATGTTGATAATCATTGAAAGTAAATCACAAGTAATGAAAGTTCAGAAGAATGGAAAAACCGACAGAATACTTCGGAAAATCATAATAGGGAAAGCGTCAAAATACAAATATACCTATGGATATGATGCGTCAAAATCTATCAAGATGATCTTTGCCTTCCTCTCCTCTAACGATTCGACCCCACATACGAGCAATGTTTCAGAGGCTTTGAGATTCCAAAAATAACCGCGAGGGTCATCCGAACGAGATCGAACGAGCTCCCGAACGAAGGTACCTTAGAATGAAAAAAATTCACAACAAGACAATAAACTTTGTCATAGATTGAAGCTTGAATAGTTGACGAGCCAAGTCGTCTAGTGAAAAAACTCTACCTTAAATGCTAGCTTGCAGTCTGGATCTTATTGCCTATAGTATTAGGTAATTTAAAACAGCATACCTTTGTCCACATCCCACAGCTTCACCGAGCCATCAACCGAACCTGTCACCAAAAGTCCGGAGTCGAGCAATTGCAATGAAGTGATGTCCGACGTCTGACCATTTACGCCATGTAAGTGGTGAAGGCATGAGCCACCCTCACGAATGTCCCAAACCTAAAGAAAAGGAAGTAGTTTTGATAGGATTGATAAACATACCCAAATGTCCGAGTCGCAAAGGCAGACCAAAATGTTTCCGCGAAACTGCATCCCAAAGTAACCACTGTGCCGTGACCTTCCATAAACGACAAAATGTGCGATGCATGCTGAAAGAAACAAATATAGATGACATTGTAACAGAATAGCGAACAAGTAAAACCCACTTGCACTTCGCACATCCCAGACGCGAATCGATCCACTATTTCCCGAGAAGACCAGATCGCGCTCCGGCTCAAACTAAAACACAATCCTGATTAAAGCCAAAATTCGACAACTCAACTCACCAAAAGAGAACTGATCCTTTCCGTGTGACCCGTCAGCGTGTGCAAACACTCCTCCGTGTGTACATTCCAAACCTAATAGAATATTATAAATTGCACTGATAAGTGTACAAACGTTTACGGCAAAAGCTTGGCCATCAAATACAACCCGTTCTCCATCAAATTTCACAAAACCCACCTGAAATTTAGCTTTGTTTAAGCCCTAACTTTAATCCACATACCCACGTCTTGACAGCCAAAATGTGAAGGCATTTCCCGTGGACAATGTCCCAGACTCGGAGTGTTTGATCCCACGATCCAGAAACAAGACTAAAACATTATGATCTTAGCCCAACAGAAAATTCCGATCGCTCACGTTGTCCCATGTATACTCATGCATGAAATCCTATCCGTATGTCCCTGCAAAAGATGAAGCTGTGCACCGGTTTGACCACACCAAACGCGCACCCTTCCCACCATGCCGCCACTTAAATCTTACAATAGAATTTGTTGTCATAAGAATTTTTATTGAATCTTTTTAGCTTCATTGGCAACACTTATGAACTGCACTAGCTATAGTCTATTAACCAACCCGACAATGTATTTGCCATCTTCGCTCACTTGATACGACAAGGAGAAACCATTATCACCAGTTAGAGCAAAAGCCGGCTAAATTCAGACGTATAATAACAATTAAACAAAACAAACTTGAGCATCATCAACATTCCAGACCCGCGACGCCTTCCAGTACTGCAACGCTTTATCATAAGAACAAGTAAAGATACGAGCAGACTGATTTTCTTGATAGAAGACTTGATACTTGATAAGCTCATTCTAAAAAGCATTTTTTCGGTCAAACCATTTCTTCAAACCTCTAGAACAGTGCTTGATTGAATCGCTCGGGATCGCCAATTCGAAATGATTCGCCTCTTTCGCAAGTACAACGACTTCCATGACGAACGCTCATAACAACTAGAAAAAACGTCATTTCGCAACAAGTTAGGTGATTAACTGTCCATATGCGATCTCGCGTGCTTGTCGATTCTGCTGGGCTTCTTGAAGGTCCATATGCGAACTGATTGTGATTCCCGCTTGCTCATTTGCTCGATTCGCCGCCCAACCTCCGAGAAAACGAAAACTAAAGAAACAAGTTTGAGACGAGTCTTTTTACAATCTATTCCCTAAATATGAACCAGTTCATCTAAACAAACATTCTCATATGTTTTCCCTCGCTTTCTATCATTGTTTGCTTTGGAATCAATAAAATTATTGTCCTAGATGGTACAATTCTTTAAATCTAGTTTAATGTAAATCTATCAGATATGTACTTTTAAGTGTTATCTTATCGGCTCAAAACTGTAACAAACCTTGGCGCATCAAATTCCACATATCCGTTCTCGAAACATTTCTGTCGCCAGGTCTGATCATCTTCACAAATCCGTTGCCACGTCCGCGAAACGCCAGCACAAGACATTAAATCGCGCGGTGTCAAATGGGCGATGATGCGATAAGCAATCTAAAACTAAACAATTACCCCCACAGGTTTCAACAAACCTCCTTTGGCAATTGTGCCAAGAAGTCCTTTTGGGAGAATGGTTGGTTCGGTTCCACTTGGATATTGGATAAACCACTTGGATTAGCTTGGATTCGAGTCTTGCTGCTCTCCGCTCTGTTCAACATCTCCCCTAAATGAAAAATTATAGCAGAGATAACATCGTAATTAATATGAGGAAAAGTCCCCGAACAAAATACTATTACTAGCTACCGTAAATACGGTAATAGTAGCACCCGTGTGGCACGCACTAGAGGCTGGTGGGGTACTTTCACAGTATTCAAGGTATATACACCTGCTAAACGAATTGAAAAGAATGAAATTTATGGCAAAATGTCTCGTTAAATATACGAAAGGAGCGCGCATTAGAACGCGCCATCAAGAGGTTTACGGTACAATGTAAACAGCGGTGGGGGGTGAAACAATTATTTCACTAACAGTGACAGTGAAACAATTATTTCACTAATAGATATTACATTTTAAAAAAATCCTCACCGTGTTCAATTGGATACTTGAGCGTCAAGATGCCTCGCTTGGATTGAGCCTCATCATCGACGTAGGAGTCCTTTTGCCCCATTCCAACCATAACCCCTTGATGGCGAGGGCGACCGACGATTGACGGGAAGACGGCGCGCGGAGCATCATCACCAGCAAAGCCAACCTAAAAAGAATTAGTACCGTAACTTGAGCAAAACTTAAACTAAAACCAGCTTAAGTAGTTTGACGTTAAAAAACAGTTACCTAGGCAATGTATAACAAGTTAAACAACAGTTCGCCCTGCTCAGGGGCTACGAGATCCAAAGTTCACCTTGCACATTCCGGATCCGTTGTCAACCACGAGTGCAGCCACTTCTTCGTCGCACATTTTGTCCAAAGCGAGTTGATCAGTTGCAATATCTGAAAGAATACAAACTAGGGTGCTTCGAAGTGAGGACAAATACCGAAATGAAAAGTGCTTCAGCTAAGGCAGAAGGGGTAAAGAGAAACAATTAACGCAAGAATTGAGATTTGGAGGATCCAATGAATCAGCATTGACTTAAGCGTCGGAAAATTGAATTCTAGATAAAATATAACTCCCGAACTCCTACAAAGCCTGCTACGAAGCTGTGGGCTTCAGCTTCAACTATAAAGCTACAAAAGCTTTGGGACTTTGGTGGTTAAGAGGGGCCACTTTTATCCTGGCTTAGTTACATCTAATGTTTTGAGTGGTTGTATCGATACCTTTTATCTATTCTAGGGTAATCAAAAATGTTTAATAGATTGATGACTATCTTAGTAAGCTTCTGGCCTTTCTAGCCTAATCTCATGTACTTTAACCATCACACACTACCTGAAAGCCTGAAACTCAAATAAAGGCCACAATATAACCATGTCGTAAAATGCTCTAAAAGTATAAAACCTATTTGACTATCCTAGAATAGGTAGATAAAAGCTGCAAAAAAGCAACCCAGGTCAACTGCCAGACTCCTTCGATGAATACGATTCCGCAGATGAAAATTTTCACTCCGACAAAAGCTCTGGCTTTCGGCCTACAGTTTTCAAATGTACGGTCTGCTTTTTGACTTTTGATTGTTCACGGGTTTCAATTAACAGAATCTTGCTTACCATTTTGTTACACGAAACTCTAACAAGGGAAGTGCACCCACTTAAGGTGAGCTTTTGGATCGAGATCCAACCAATTCTTTTTATTTTGGTCTTTCAACACTTACCTTTGTTTTATTTTTATCTTTCACGCCGTATCATACTGAATTTTAAAATAGAATTCTATAAATAAGAATTCTAGAATAGAATCTCTTTCTGCTTTCCTAAAAGAAATCGCCAGCAAAGATTGTGCAGAAAATAGGTGTTGTGAAAGAGTGTTTATTCTGTCCTTTTTGGTGGAAGGTAACAACAGTTTTGTTTGTTACTTCACTTTTTATCATCAATGTTGAGCTGTGAATGTTCAATCTTTTTCATAAACCTCAATACAAAAAATTCATTGTGATACTTCCTGAAATCGACAACTAAAACAATTTTAAGTGTTGGATGGTCAAATAAAAAGAAAAACAAAGGATGGAATTGAACTCAAGCAAAAATGAAGAAATCGTTTCGTACATAAGCCTTAATTGAGTGCACTTGCTCCCTTGCTAGTTTACCCTGTTTCTTCGTATTTGTGAGCCAGTTTTTAGCGATTTAACGTGCATGTGTAAGTTGTGTAACAAACACCACTTACACAGTTTAAATATATTTCATTTAAAAAGCGTTAAAAAATATTGAATGTTTACAGCAACCAACGAAGCATGCGAAACTCAAAGCAAAAACATAAGGGTTAGGTTCTTTATGCCATTTGAGATAGCGAAAAAGGACTTTGCTTGGCGTAAAGTTAAAGGAAGGGCATTTCAAAGTTTTTCTTTACGAAGTTTAAAAGACCCTGACCTTGGATTTGGCAGAAATTTGGACCTAGTAAGATGAAAAGGACCTCTCCTGAAAACTGAACGCTGTTCGAAGGAATAGAAAATAAAATGGGGCCAGATTGGTCGGAATCGCTAGTTGCCCAAAGTTCGTATTGATACGCGGCGATTATTAGAACATTCTCATCGTTTTGAAATTGCTTCGGGATGCGAATGATGTCCCTGGAAATTGTTGAAAATGAAAAATCGCAGAATCAAGTCTGATTTGGGAGTCACGAGTGAGTGTTGAAGCCTGTGATCTGTCGACGATCAACGATTTGAAAGATTTGATATAATTTGACGATCGATCTTTGTCCAGCTCCTAAGAATTACGATCTGTTGGACTTAATCTGTGATTTTCTCTTTCCCTTCCCCTTTCCCTTCTCCCCTTTTTTCTTCAGACAATGATGCCCCTTTGTGATGACACGAGAATCGGTGATGAGCAAGAGAATTGGCGACTTGCACTCATAAATTTTCACTTCCAATCACTCATAAATTCTATCGACTTGTTTACGCCGAAAAAACAATTTCAACTATCGACCGAAAAAACAATTTCAACCCTCAACTTCTGCCCATTTTGCCCATTTCCTCTTTGTTTTCTTGACTATTCCCCGATTTTCAAGGGCAATATTTCATTTCGAAGCAATATTTCATTTCGACGAGCAACGATTTGAAAATTTTACGATCAATTTTTGTCTAGCTCCTAAGAATTACGATCTGTTGGACTTAATCTGTGATTTCCTCTTTCTTTTTCCCTTTTCCCCTTTTTTCTTCAGACAATGATGCCCCTTTGTGATGACACGAGAATCGCTGATAAACAAGAGAATTGGCGACTTGCACTCATAAATTTTCACTTCCAATCACTCATAAATTCTATCGACTTGTTTACGCATCCCGAAACAAAATTGAAAATTATCCCTTTTCGGATTTCTTGCCTTCAAAAAATGCCAAAAAATTTCCCTTGACACTAAATCCCAAAGAAACTCCTCAACTTTTGCTCATTTCGCCCATTTCCTCTTTGTTTTCTTAACTCTTTCCCGATCCTCAAGGGCAATATTTCATTTCGAGGCAGTTTCGAGTTGAGAAATGACCTTTTCTGTTTCTTTTTCCTATCAAAATCAAGATCAACCTCGAGAAACGTTTTTGCTTAAAGAATTCCCCAAATTTTCTTAAACTTTTTACGAATTATGGATGTCATTGATTAAGAAAATGTTAAGAAATAGAAATTTTTTTCTATAAAAATTCGAGTTCTGTTAGGGAAGAGTTTGAACGATTTTCTGCGCTATGGATTCAAAAAGGTATCCTAAAAACTTTTGCACACTTGTTTTGGAACGCACTTGAGCTGAAAAAGTGACTATTTTGTTTTTGTGACGGCTTTTTTTTGGAGATCCAACGACAGATAACCGCCCCCACCCCTCCCCTGCTTCCATTTGCTTCAAAAATGATAAACCATTCCCCTTTCGCCCATCTAGTTCATCAAATTATGCCCCTTTTCGCTTTTTGCCCGCCAATTCCACCCTGCACAATTGATGTGTTTATTATGCAGCGCCCATTGCCTTTCCGTTGTCAATTTCTGCCTGAAAATTGAGAAATTTTTCACCCACCGTTAGCCATTTGTCTAGTTGGATGTCACAGTAGCTTTAAATTTAACTATTTACTTTTAAAGAGGATTTTTGAAATTTTAGCTTATCATGGTTGAAAGAGAGCAAGAGATTTTCTTGAAAATTTTTGATTCTATCGAGAATTTACATACTTTTGGGTGGATTCTGGAGGGCATTGGATAATCAGCGCTTAAAAAGAGCTTTAAAAAGAACTTTAAAAAGAAATCTTATTTTGTTGATTGATCGAGAGCCCCGGCGACAGTTGTTTTGATTGAACGATCTCGAGAAGGGCCGATCCGAGATTCGATCGCTACTTGGGTGTAAAAAAGTGTGCTATCGTTTCGAAAGGTTAATCTAACTATTCATAGTGACATTTCTGTTTTTTTCGACTAAATTCGATTGCTACTCGATGGCCGCTTTTCGCTTTTCAAACAATTCTCGATTTTGACAATATGCATAGAATCGTCAATCTTACCGTTTCCAAGTCTCTACCAATTCATTCAAAAATTCAGTCAAAGTCAATCAACCACTTCCCTTCTTCCTTTCTTCCTTCCTTCCTTTCTTCCTTTCCTCCTTTCTCTTCACTATTTGTGATTTCCCTGGGTGATTGGTGTCTCCTTTGGGAAAATCGGGCGCGACTCCTAGCCTCTAAATTTTGACTCTATTGATATTTCTAGCCATTTACCCGCAAACCCTGACACTTCTTTGAATTTATTACCGATTTAGAGAGATTTATTGCTTTTTGAGCCTTTCCCTTTATTGCAGAACTATTGAACTCTTAATGCAACTCGATCCAACTCCAATCTTCATCCAATCTAATTCATTCGCTGTTGAAGTCTTGTTGCCGTTGCTCGTTTTTATATCCTAGTCTCAGCTCTTTCGTCAAAATCAT